TAGAGTCTGCAAGGTTTCTGTAAACAGCTGACGGTTTGTGGATACGGCTTTGTACGGCGTGTAAAAAAGGGTTTGAGTTTGAGTGTGTTGTGTGCGGCGGTCCTGTCCAGGTTGTGTGTGAGGTGATAAGGGGATCCCCGACGGTGGGTGGAGCGTCCCCGGGCCGATAAGAGCCCTCTGCACAGGACTGATACTGAGCAGCAGGAGGAGGGAGACCTGCAGGCTGCCATCATTGTGCTTCTTCTCTGAGGGCCTCTTCTCTGAACAGACCTCTGTAGTGAAGCCATATCAGCAGGGACGGAAATTAACGGCATTTATCTCAAGTACTGCACTCACGTACAATTTGGAGTCCCTTGTACCTTAGTCAATTATTTCCATTTCCTGCTTAGTATTCCACTATTCTATAAATATTGCTTTCTCCTGCTGTAAAATCATAAATATGAAGTAGAATAAATGCTAAATATTTGCCTTATTTCTACTTAAAGTGTTATTTATACTTTTTTATTTGATTTTACATGTGACAAATAGACCAAGGTGCCGAGTATGCAGATAATGAGATACAGACAATTAAAGCAAAGTAAGAGATACAAATCAATTATACTAACAGTACAATCTGAAATCCCAATAATAACAGCAGTTACAAAAATGTTGGGGAAAGAAAAAATATATATTAATAAGGACATACTTTCATTAGCAGCTGACTGGACCAAAGGCTTTGTGTGGTAGTCTAATTATAATATTAATGTCATCACTTAAATATCTGAAATATTTTTTTAAAACATGTCGTGTTCAGCAACTGTTGTAGTGCTACATGATGGCCCTGCAATGTTTTCTCTATTTATTTTCACTTCAGTACCAATGCAAATTGTATTTCCCGCCTCATTTGGCATCCCGCGCTTATTCTCAGAAAAAGAAAACACCAACGTAAACGCCCCAAACACACACTCACTTGCAGTTCAAACAACATGAGCAGCATCATTCAAAAGAAGACGTTTTCGTCGTGTTCTGCAGTACAGAGGGGTTGCCCCCCCCCCCTGTGTGTCATGATAAGAGAGCTATGCTGCACACAGATAGAGAGAGCTATCTGAGCTGCTACCCTTCAACCCGCCATCACACACACAAAGAGCACACATACTGCAGTGACAGTTGAGCACAGTTACACACACAAAATGGAGATTGTGAGGGGCACAGGGGCTTCAAGGGAACATTTGAAAGCTACAGGCGAGATTTCGGTGTAAAACAAATATACATAAACCACATCTGAGATCACACAGATGTATTCAAATCTCATGCCAGGTAAAGTAGGCTACAACCCCTTTCCCAATGGGGCTGATAAATTAAAACTCTACACCAAAATAAAAACCAAACTGCAGTGAGATGGTGAAGCTTACAGAGAAAGCTTTACCCTGTGTTGTCCCTAGATTTGGGACAAATACATATTTTCATTATCAATAAATCTGCTTATTGTTTCTTGGTAATTGGTTGGTCTTTAAAACTGTGACAAATGTTCATAACAATGTTCTCAAATGCATTTTCTTCCACTTTTTACACCGGCTTTTACAGCACAACCCAACTGGAATAACCACAGAGTAGAGGTTAAAGGCCTCATGCTGCCATGTGGGTCAAATGTCAGAAAATGAATGTAACAAGACTCGAATGATGTACAATTGCAATGAATTGTCATTTAGAGCAAGGATAAGCAATTAGTCGATCAACAGAAACAAAAGAGGGACTTATTTGATCATCTTATTATATTTATAGTCAGTTTCCATCCTCTCAGATCTGAGGATTATATACCTTATGATGTTCGTCAGACAAAACATTACAATTAGATGTCACCTTACCCCGTGTGCAATTATAACAAGCTATTTCATACTCAAAAAGATTAACGATGGATCAAGAAATACACCATACATACATCAATGTGTTGTCAATGTTAGTTGCAGTCAGTGACTCGCTCATTAATTGTTATTTGTATGGCCTAGATGGCTAATCATCCATTTCATCAAACCTCCACAAGTTAGATTAAGCATTGTGCCTAACGTTATTTTTCTTATAAAAAAAGTGACTCCCTTCAGCCATCTCATTTCTAGTCTCGTATGTTTTGAACACCTGGTATTATAATAAATCAAAACAACACCTTTACTGTCTGTCTTTCACCTCTGTTTCAGACTACCTCCAGTATTCCACAACCAGTCCTGTCATTTCGTCCTCTGCACTCATCCCCCCCAGCCCCCCGCACACGCTGAGGACACCGCTGGCCCGTCTCCTCAGCCGCTCTGCCCAAGCTGGCCACCCGCCCATGACTTTCCACCACAAGACTTTGGACATGCGGAGATCTCCGGCAGCAGTACAGCGCATCCAAACCCGCTCGACATCACCGACGCAGGAAATCGACAATGACAACTGCTCAGCGCTGGCTGTTTGGAGCGCTCGCGCATCAAAGGCCCTCGCAGGTGAGTGTGTGCATAGTAAAACAGGCTGTGTCCTTTCTACAGCATATTGGGTATACTTTTTTATGGATGAAGTGAGTTATTATTTTTAGAGACGGTGGCTATTTCAGTTTATACATTAGGGGTTTAGAACGAGTTGAATGTGTAACTGACACTTTAGTTTTATGGTAAAAAAATGCACACTCAAGGGGACCCTTGATTTTTTTTAAAGCTCTCACATTCTGCAGGGATTGTTGTGTGTGTACATGTTACTCGTGGTGTCACAACCTCCAGCAG